ACCAAGGAGCAAAATGCCAATTAATTAGAATTTTTCCTAAGTATTATGTTCACCAAATGTGAGCATGCCCTGCAGTCTCTAAGGTCGGGCAGATAAATGCCTGTGGGAAAGAATAACTATTCCAGGATGAGGCTCTGTAGTTAGGTGTGTTGATAGACAGCTATGTAGGATATTGGTTAAAATAATCCATGTTCAAAGTCTTCAAAATGCATGGTAGGCGACCATACAGATGAATGCCACAAGAGGGCAGGTGTACATATGGAAATAGGGCTTTCGTGGACTTAACCTTAGTCTTTCTATTGACTTTTTTTTTTTTCATTTCACTGATGATTTTGTTAGATATTGATCACTGCCTACAGATGGGCTTCATTTTGAAGACGTGAATCTACATTTCAAAATGCGACCATCTAGGAAAGGTCCCCTAACAGTTCATTTAATAAAGCCATATTTGTATTTCTTATAAAATATATTTTTGTAATGAAAACACCTAAAGTTTCATTATTGAGAAAAATGGAACCGATACTTTCAAGTGTCAGTGGGACAAACATTTCCTGACTTTCTATCACGGCATGAATGCACATGTGTTGTTTACTCAATCTCATTTATTTCATAATGGGATTAAATAATGCTTCATTATTTCATAATGAACAAAGTAATATGTGATTTTGAAAAAAAGAAGCAATTACACTTATTTTTCTTTCACCTCAGAACCCCCCACCCCCTAATACATTCTGACATTAAAATGAACTAATTTGTTGGGTAATTTAAAGTCGCCTCAATCTCTCCAAGAAAGATGAAGAAATAGGCTTCTCAGACCCCGGGGTTTTACTGCTTACAGATTGTTTTACTCAAAATGCTTCTTGCAAACTTCAGGCAGTCTTGTTCCTGGAGTGCCTCTTACACACCACACATTCAGTACTTTTCAGCGGCTGGTCAGTGCCCATGGTTTAATTGCACTTATGGGTGTGACACGTCCGGGAGATGGTGATGGACAGGGAAGCCTGTCGTGCTTGGGGTCCATGGGGTCGTAAAGAGTTGGACACGGCTGAGAGACTGAACAACATCAGTGGGTCTGACAGCACTGGGACTTCCAAGGCTTTAGTGGGCATCTCCCTTGCAGTTTGCGGCTTCCCCGGTGGCGCAGTGGTAAAGAATCCAAGTGCCCACGCAGGAGACACAGGAGACAGGGTTCGATTCTTGGGTGGGGAAGATCCCCTGGAGAAGGAAATGACAAGCCACCCCAGTGTTCTTGCCTGGGAAACCCTATGAACAGAGGAGCCTGGCGGACTACAGTCCATGGGGTCGCACAGTCAGAAACGACAGAGCGACTGAGCACACACTTGCAATTTGCTAGGACTTCCCAGGTGGCGCGAGTGGTAGAGAACCTGCCGGCCAATGCAGGAGATCCAAGAGACGTGGGTTCTTCCCTGGGTCGGGGAGATCCCTTAGAGCAGGAAGTGGCAATCCACTCCAGGATTCTTGTCTGGAAAATTCCATGGACAGAGGAACCTGGCGGGCTCAGTCCAAGGGGTCGCAAAGAGTTGGACACGACTGAGCCACTGAGCATGTGGCATGGCCCAGAGCTGCCAAGCAGAGGCTGTGGGGCTCAGCAGTAGAGAATTGGCCTGTAGAAGTCATCCTGAACAACTCAGGAGCCTCTCTGAACCTCAGCTTTCACATCTGTAAAATGGAGCTCGTATTTGTGTTTTTCTCAAAAGGATGTTGTGAGGATCGGCTGAAATAATGGATGTAAAGCACCTGAGCTTGTGCCTGGCATATCGTGGGCTGTTCTACCCACCTCCCCGCAGCTACGCCTCTCCTGTGACCAAACGTGTAGGTTGGCTACTACATTACCTGGGACACAGGAGCACTCGGTAGACCCCAGCTAGGATTACTGCCCTGACTTTAGTCCTATTGAAGAAGGAATTCATAGGGCCTGGACTCCATCTCAGGCCTGTCCATGCTGATCGCGCTAGGCCGCCTCTCCAATGGACTCTGAGCTCTGTGCTTAGCGCCTGTGGGAATGACACTGGAAGGATAAGACCCCCTCTGGGCAGGGGAATCTTGAAGATCACATCCAGGTTAAGAGAAAACAGACACTAATCACCCCTGCCTCCGGACAGTATCTATCCGGATGTAACCACAGGCTTATCGGTTATTAACTGGTTGGAATATAACCACGGGCTTATTGATTATTAACTGTTTGAACACATAACACGTGAATGATGGGGTTATTGTGATTGTATTTACCCTTCCTTTGTAAGCCTCAAGGGATTTGGGCTGGTGGGTTTGGACACGTACACATGGGGTATAAAAGATTTTCACAAATGTTGGTCGGGGTCCTTGGCTAAGAGGAGACTCTGCCTTGGGCCCGCCGGTGTAATAAACTGCACTCCACTATCTGCATTGTCCTTCTGAGTGAGTTTGTTTCCTGGAAAGCATGGCTATAACACTATAAACATCTTAGAAAATGATTTTAAAAACAAAGATGCTAAATAAGTATTGCATCTCCATTACCAGCTGCGTACACATGCACGCTCTCAACGTTCTCTCCTAGAAGACGCTTCCAGAATGGGTGTTTCTTTCCACACTTTCATGCTGCATCTGAAGATCCAACATTACCACTGGGAAAAACTCCAGATCACTGAAGGCTTGCAGCTCATGTTCCTGGTCAGCCGTGGTGAGGACGGAGGCACTGATCTATTACAAATGGCAGTGATTTCCAAAGCCACCGCTGCTGTTTCTCCCTCTGAAGGTTTGCTGCGATGGAATTCTAGGAAGATTTTGCACAACTGCCCCAAACCCACATCAGAGGCCACGATAACAAATTAGCTGTAGAGGGACGCTGGCTGTGTTTCCATGTCCAAGGTGCCGAGGTGGAAATCATTTACGACAGAACATGCACTCTTTGCATTAAGCAGACCCAGTTTATGCGTGACTCCAAATGGACTTCTTTGAAACTTCACTTCCTCCCAGCCCAGTTCACAGAGTCAGATGTTTTTATAGGGGAGAATTCTACAACAGCTGCATTTTTTTCTCCCTTCAACATGCCAAATGTTTCTTATCATTACATGGTCTCAAATATATTTTACTATGAAGTTTTTTTTAAAGCACCAATAACTCGCATAACCTTTAACCCGCGAGTGTAAACACGCTACATTTGGACAGGCAGTAAATTGTGACTCTACTTTTAAAGCTCCTTGGGTTAGCCTGGATAAATCTTTTAACTTCTCAGCTAGAGAGTCTTTAGAGAGACTTTCGTGGCTTTAATATTCCTGGAGTCACTCTTGGCACTTCCCAGGTCCCAAGGTGGACGGGGTTGGTGCCCTCTCTGGGGCCCAGGGTGTCCTGGGCTCATTTCTTTCCGGTCCTGTTCCTCAGTACCCTGAGGTTCCCCTCCCCAGATGGTCTCACACTTCACTGCGTGTTCCTCGAGCACAGGGACTGTGACTTATCACCGTGGCATCCATCGTAGTTCAGCAAGCTGTAACAAGTGTACTGGACTGGTGTGTTTTAAACAGCAAACACTTATTTCTCAGAGTTTTGGAGGCTGGGACATCAGCACAGTTGGATTCTAGGGAAAGCTCTCCTCCAGGTTTGCAGACAGCTGTCTTGCTGCCGTATCCTCATGTAGCACAGAGAGAGGGAGAGAAAGAGGGACAGAGAGCGCTCTGGTCTCTTAGCCTTATTATAAGGGCACTAACTCCATCAAGTGTGATTTAGACATGGGTTTCCCTGGTGGCTCAGATGGTAAAGAATCTGCCTACAATGTGTGAGGCCCAGGTTCGATCCCTGGGTCAGGAAGATCCCCTGGAGAAGGAACAGACTATGCACTCCAGTATTCTTGCCTGGAGAATCCGAAGGACAGAGGAGCCTGGCAGGTTAGAGTCCATGGGGTCACAAAGAGTCGGACACAACTGAGCTACTAACAGACACACCCCATCCTGTGGGTTCTACCTCATGACCTCCCAAGGGCCTCACCTCCAAATACCATCACACGGGGAGTTAAGGTTTCACACATGAATTTCGGGGTCACAAACATCCACGACAGTATCCCAAGAGCCTCGCACAGTCCTGGACCATTTCTCGAGATCAAAAGATGAATGGTGCCCCCTGGAGGTGTAAACGTGGTGGTCCAAAGTGTGTGTGTGTGTGTGTGTACGCACGCGAGCGCACGCTCTATTAGCACTTGAGTACTTGTTGAATAAAACATTTAACAAATTATAACATATTTCTGCCTAAAATTTTTTAAAAATATTTTTATTCAAATTAAGTTTGGTGTTGTTTTATAATAATGTAAAATGTAATGCTTAAATAGAAAATGACATTTTAAATTAAATCAAAGAACTTAATAGATTTTTTTTTTTCCTGAATAACTCTAAGCATGACTTGAATATTCTAACAGGACAATGGTTTATTGATCAGAAAAACTTAAGTATTAAATTACTGGCTGAATACTGCCCTAGGAATCCCATTTGTCTTTAGATTATAAGGTGATTAATTTGATAAATAGCCAAGATGTATTTTCATCTCTGCAACATCTAAAAGCATAATCTGACATTCATTGTCCTTCTCTACAGAGATGTTCTAAAGAAGTGTCCTAGCCCTCAATCAAGCCATTGAAAATTTCCCCAAGCATCAATATGCCCCAAATTCAGATTAGGGAAAACATCTCACTTACAGGCACTTTAAAAATCTTGTTCCCTCAAGATTGTTCCCCTACTGGAGATTCAACCAATCCTGTTGACTCTGGAAAGTAGCAAAGACGGATTTAAGTGAATCCGGTGCTTGAAGTGGGACCCGGGGCAGCTTGCCAAGATCATGTTATTCTTTTGCTTGGAATCCTGCACCCCACGCCGCCCCCCACCACTGCCGGAAGCTCCTTCCTTCTCTTCCTCTCTCCTTTCGTCCCACCCAGCTGCCCGGGGCCCCAGCCAGCCGTGCCAAGCGGGGAGGAGACCCCTGGGCGGCCGCACGGGGGGAGGGAGAGGCCTCCGGGCTCACGGACGCGGCCATCCTGGGTGAAGCCGGAGGAGACCGCAGGGTGGCCCGTTCTGCGCGCAGCTCCTAACTGACCGCCCACCGTGCGTCTTGGTGCTGGGTCTGGTCTCCGTGACGCTGCCCGGCAGCTGGTGGGTGGCTCGGCTATGCGGCTCCTCCCCCGGGAAACCCCAGCTCTCTGGTCCCTGCCCTTCTGCCCTCATCGTGGCCTCTCCTAGCGCCCGTCCAGAGCGGGGAGAACTCTTGGTTAGGGGATCAGCCTTCTGCTCTAGGCTGTGGACTCTTGGCATGAGGAAAGGGTCGCTTTCTTCTTCACATCTTGACTCCTGGTGCCAGAGCCGGCACTGCCCTGGCTGGAGAAGTGAACGAATGAATGAGCAGCGGTCAAACGAGACAGTGTGCGTGCAAGTGCTTGGTAAACGGCGCTGTGCGACGCACATGCGCACCGGCCATTATTGTCTCCACACCTGCCGGGCCGGGGCCTTGCCCGGGACAGAGCAGCAGCTCCAGAGGCTGGAAGGCAGAAGGGAGCCCGCGGCGGCGGCCTGGGCCCCCAGGAAGCAGAGGCTCAGGTGGCATTCGTGTGAGGTGTTCACCCGGGAGAGCCCGTGCCAACAGACCCCAGGGAGGGCAGGACAGGAAGTGGGACCAGCCAAGAGGGAAGGGGGACTGTGATGCTGGTGGCCCCGTGACAGCCTTGGCTGTCCCCCAGGGAGCCCTGAGCTAGGATGGCACTTTGGCGTTGTCCTGACTGGGGCCTGACTTTTATCCCCTGCACTGATCAGACGCTGGATGCGGATCACTGAGAAAGGGATGTGAGCTTGGGCCAGGCAGACCTTCAGTCTCCAAAGGTGTGTGCTGGGCAGGCCCGAGGGTGCCCGGCAGCCCACCAAAGTCCACCACAGTAGCTTCTCACAGAACCCAGGACCCGGGAGCACGCTCGGAGCTGAAGAAGCTGGGCCTGGGGATTCCTCCACCTCCAGCGGGGGCAGCCTTTGGAAACACACAGCCCTGCGTATACGCAGGATGGGCAGTGGGCTTTGCTGCCACAGTGGCTGTGTACTCGGCCAGGTGCCAAGACCCTCCAAAGTCCAAGGCTGGGCCTCTGCAGTGCTGGAACATTCTCTCTCTTGCTCTGGGTGTGGGGTCACATGGAGCTGTGCACTTAAAACAGTATTGACTTTCCTATATGCATCATGCAACCCGCACCACAGTGATGCTCTTCAAATTATTTAAAAAGTCTGTCCTGTTCAGCCTTCCAGTCTGCCTCCAGTTTTTAAAAGAGAAAAACATCATTGGGGTTTTACGACACACAATCCTGCCAACCCCTAGATAGAAACAAACACTTTTAAATTATGAACTGAGCCAGGACATCAAACTAATCTTTGGATCAAACCTGAATTTCACTTTGTCTTTGAATACCTCCCCATTCTCTACTCAGAACCTTTAATTGCCTCCCATTTCCCTCAAAAGAAACTTTAAAAACTTTTTTTTTTTTTTTTGGAGAGAGCTGGGATTGCAACTATTTTTTTTTTTTTTCCTCCCAAACTTTCATTGTAACTCTCCTCTGTGCCAGCCACTGCTCTGTCCTTGGGCTTGGAGAGAGCAGAGCACTGGTGCTCCCCACAGAGGACTGGCGCCTGCCCATGAGGGGCCCACGGTCAGATGGAGATGTCCCTGCATACAGGCCAGCTGCGTGGTAGCCGAGCTGAGTGCGCGGAGCTGGAGTTGAGGGCAGGGGGACAAGCATCCGCACAGACTTTCTGGGGTAAGTGCTCTCTTGCCAGTTTGGAGAGATTGCGATCTAAATGGTCTGGCTTGTCTCCTGGAAACCTCATCTTGCTGTGTTTGTTCTCCAAACTCCAGGTCGCCCTGGCCTCCCCACAGAGATGGCTCCTACGTAGCCTCTGTGCGTCTGTACTCTTGCCTTTGTATGGCCGCCCTTTCTCATCTTTCTCTGCCAAAAGTTGGCTTGCTCTCAGATCCCCGTGCTTGCTGTTGGAGGGTCAGTGGCTTCCTTTGCACCCAGCCTCCTCTCACAAAACCCTCTCTGCAGTGTCCCCGGGTTCCCTGGTGACCGCTCCATTAAATTCGTATGGAGTCAGCTACTGCTCTCTGGCCTCTTTTTTTTTTTTTTTTTAATAACTGCAGAACTGTACCTCTCACCTTGCAGAACATTCCTTCCCCATCTCACTCCTCTTAAACTTATACTTAAGATTAGCCCACAAGGGACTTCTCTGGTGGGCCGGTGGCTAAGACTCCATGTCCCCAATGCAGAGGGCCCAGGTTCAATCCCTGTTCAGGGAACTAGATCCCATATGCTGCAAGTGAAGATCATGTGTACTGCAACTAAGACCCAGTGCAGTCAAAAAAATATATATATATAAATACTAAAAACAGATCAGCCCACAATACCAAGGTGGGAAGGGGAGCTTAGGGGACCTCAGGGCCTGAGGGGTACCCTCAGACTGAGCCCGACCAGCAGAGACCCACCAACCTCTTCCTTCAGGGTTGTACTCAGCCACGCAGTCATGTTTCTTTGCGACTCTACGGACTGTAGCCTGCCAGGCTCCTCTGTCCATGGAATTACCCTGGCAAGAATACTGGAGTGGGTATCCATTCCCTCCTTCAGGAGATCATCCCAACCCAGGGATTGAACCCAAGTCTCCTGCACCTCCTGCATTGGCAGGTGGATTCTTTACCAGCCACTGATGCTTTTTCTCAGGACAGTTTTAAGAACCAGATCTTTTGGTTGGATTCAGACCACAGGCAACCTCCAGACCACAGGCAACCTCCAGACCGCAGGACACACACACTTGGCAAGCTGCTTTAAGGCTGCCTAAAGCTGCTTCGTTTGGTCGCTGCCGGCTCCCAGCACTGCCCCCAGCTCCAGGGGAAGGAGCATCCTGCTAGTAGTCTCTCTGGGCATCAGGCATTGTCCTGTATCCTTTGCTTATGATTTGGGAAGTTCTCTGAGTCCCACTGGGCCACAGGGCATCTTGCGAGATGAGGGGATTTAGCAGCCAGAGTGTGTTTTGTTTCCATAAATCCTGGAGTTAATTGGCTCTTCTTGAGCCTGCCACAGTTCACGGCTGGGAGAGGAGATGTGGGACTATGGCGTCTGTCCAAATAGAAAAGTCACGCAGATAATTCTGAAAGCTGAGACTTGAGGATTGATGATACCAAGAGGGAAAATAATCATCGCCTTAGAAAGCCTTCCAGCCTGTCCACATAGGTTCCCCCCAGCCGATTCTCATGTGTGTATCCACTCTGTGGCGTGGATGAGACATTTGGTATTAATGTGTCTCTGCACCCCATCTCCAGAGCCAAAGCAAAGAGGGACTATTATTTGTAAATCCAAACTGTGTGGACTGCCATTCAAAGTAATTGACCTCCAATCTTCTCTTTAATGTGTCATTAAATCTCTGGGTACATATTTGCTGACGTAACATTCATTGTGAGTCTGTGAAGAGCTGGAATGTACTTAAAATGCTTTTCTCACACCTAGAGTCACTTCAAACCTACATATCAGCTCTCAGAGCCTCACACCTTGAGGTTTCAGAGCCTGTGGAGGAACTGAAACAAGCTTTCTTTCTCATTTTGAAATTGGCCAATCATAGAGGCGATTTCAAGTCAGTGTCATGTTAAAGACATTACCAAAACAGAATGAGCTAACACAAAAAGACAATTCCTCCCAACATCTCTGGTTATGCTTCATATAATGATGGCAAATGTGATGTCAAAAATCACCTGTTGTGAAGATATCATAAGCACCAACAAGCACCAAAAAAGGCATTCAACATCACTAATCACCCAGGGAAATGCAAATCAAAACCACCACATCACTTCGTATCCATCAAGATGACTACTATAAAAAAAAATTGAAAATGTGTTGGTGAGGATGTGAAGAAATAGAAAGGCTTGTGCACTGTTAAGGGGAATGCAAAATGGTGCATTGCAAAATAGTGTGGGGATTCCTCAAAGTGTTAAAAATAGAATAACCTTATGATCCAGCAATCTCACTTCTGGGTATACATCCTGAAGAACTGAAGACAGAGTCTTGAAGAGACATTTGTACACTTAAGTTCATAGCAGTCCTATTCACAATAGTCAAAAGGTAGAAGCAACCAAAGTGTCCATCAATGGATGAATGAACAAAGAAAATATGAAATATGTATACATACATATGTATATTTTGTATATACAGTGGATTATTAATCAGCCTTAAGAAGGATGAAAATCTTACCACATGCTACATCATTGCTGTTGTTGTTCAGTCACTAAGTCGTGTCTGACTCTTTGAGACCCCATGGACTGCCACATGCCAGGCTTCCCTGTCCTCCACTATCTCCCAGTACTTGCTCAAACTCATGTCCATTGAGTTGATGATGCCATCTGTCACCCCCTTCTCCTGTCCTCAGTCTTTCCCAGCATGAGGGTCTTTTCCAACTGGTCATCTCCTTGCATCAGGTGGCCAAAGTATTGGAGCTTCAGCTTCAGCATCAGTCCTTCCAAAGAATGTTCAGGGTTGATTTCCTTTAAGACTGACAGCCTTGATGTACTGTATACTGCATACTACATCATGCATGAGCCTTAAGGAAATGACATTAAGTGAAATAAGCCAGTTTCAAAAGAACAAATATTGTATGAGTCCACTCATATGAGGTCCCTAGAGGAGTCAGAATCCCAGAGACAAAGCAGAAGCGTTGTTGTCAGAGACTGGGAAGATGAGGAGCTGTTGGTGAATGGGGACAGCGTATCAATTTTGCAAGATGAAAGTTGTATAGACTGGTTGCACAACAGTGTGGATGCACTTAGCATCTTAACCGCACACTTAAAATGGTTAAGATGGTGTATATTGCATCCTGTATATTTTACCATAATTTTTAAAAAGTTACACAAGTTGCCTCCTCACAGTAATTGACTGTCCAGTAAGGTCCTGCGGGAGTGTGTGTCACCCAGGTGCATTGAGTCCTTGGCTGTATCTTGCTACCCCATGTCCACCATGGTCCCTGGACAGGGTCCGGCAAATAGAAGCTCAGCACAGTTTTACTGAACCTATGAGGAAAAGAAGTCGAGAGGGAAAGAGTAGGGGAAAAAAGAATGAATAGAAAATCCACAAAAGATAAATTACAAATGGACAGTAACCAAATGAGAAAATTTTCAGCTTCACTAGTAATCAAAGAAAAGCCCATTAAAGCAA